TGCACTCATCTTTATTTGTCATTCTCATGAGACCTCATCATACCTGAAGGACAGAACACCATCCAGAAGCACCTGGACAAACTCAAGAACTGGCCCCTCAAGAACTGGCCCCCCTCAAGAACTGGTTCCATGGGCCCATGGGAACCTCATGAGGTTTAACAAGACCAAGTGCAAGGTGCTGCATTTGGGTCAGGGCAACCCCTGGTGTCAGCACAGGCTGGGGATGGACAGATCAGAGCAGCCCTGGGGAGAAGGATTTGGGGGTGCTGTGGGTGAGAGGCTGGACATGACCCGGCCATGGGCACTGCCAGCCCAGAGAGCCAAACGTGTCCTGGGCTGCATCCAAAGCAGCATGGGCAGCAGGGGAGGGAGGGGATTGTGCCCCTCTGCTCTGCTCTGCTCTGCTGAGACCCCACCTGGAACACTGCACCCAGCTCTGGGGTCCCAGCACAGGAGGGACAGGGACCTGTTGGAGTGGGACCAGAGTAGGGTCACCAGGAGGATAATCAGGGGGATRGAGCACCTGTCCTGTGAGGAAAAGCTGAGAGAAATGGGTTTGTTCAGACTGAAAAAGAGAAGGCTTTGGAGTGACATAACTGTAGTCTTACAGTAGCTGAAGGGAGCCTACAAGAAAGATGGAGACTTTTTACAAGAGCATGTAGTGACAGGACAAGGAAGAACACCTTCAAACTAAAATAGAGCAGGTTTAGATCAGATATTACGAAGAAATTCCTTCCTGTGAGTGTGGTGAGACACTGGCACAAGTTTACCAGAGCAGCTGTGGCTGCCCCATCTCTGGAAGTTTTCAATGYCAGAATGGATGGATGGAGCTCTGAGCATCCTGGTCTAGTGGGAGGTTTCCAACCCAGGCCATTCAACTGTAACATTAACAAAATAAAAGCAGCCCACTATGTAATACTGCCTTTTCAACAAAACCCATCCAGGGAACACCTGGGAAAGGCTACAGCGTTATCACCACTAGTTTAATCCCTATCAACAACTAAGTTTACATCCCTCTGGCAGGGGAGTGACTGCCAGCTTCCCTGTGCACACAGGGATGTATRAGGGACGAACTGGCGAGCACTCAGKGCAGAGACCGCCATCTCCTGGYCCGGAGTGTAGCCAGTCCCACAGCTGACTGCGCTTGTGCTATTGCACTGAGAAAGGCTGGCTCCTACCATGCCACAAACAAAAGAATGCTCCACCACACACAAAAGAATGTGTAATCTGTTGTACTTGTCATCACAGGGAAAGTCCCGTGCCYACAGAAAATAAACTTGTGTAAGCAGCAGCAGTAACAAAGGTGAATAAATTAAAACATGGGAGCAGCAAGCCAAGTAACATGATGACATACTACAAACATTTAGAATAGATAGATACCTTTGTCCTTAAAAAATACAGAGCATGACCACACTTAAATGAGTGCAATAAGGAAAAACAAAGAAGGGAAAATTAAGAAAACCTGAATCTACTTGTAATTTTGTAACAGTGAGAGAAGAGGCTGGTGAAAAGGAATAGCTGTTTATTTATGCTTCTTTTCTTCTCAATTTATCTGCATATTGAGTTTTTTATTGTACGCACTTCAGAACCAACTTGAGAAGGTTTTCTAAACTGCTCACATATTCTCTTTAATATAACAGATCCTTGGATACAAAGCCCTAAGTGCTAAAATTCCCCATCAAGAACTAGTCACTATCAAAACAAGTGAAAAAACAGGATTCTTTCACATCTGTGGAAAAATTATGGGCAGAAAAAACAAAACTCAGTTCAACTAAATGCACTATGCATACAAGAATATAATAAAATTTATTTTCCTGTTAGTGAGGATCCTGAACTGCTGCCAAAAATTTCAGGAATCTTAACACTAAATTCTCACTAGTGAAACCAACACTAGACAACTAAGAATCAAAACAATGCCACACAATAAGGGCAACGGGAAAGCTGGCTTCTAAACTTGAGACTATTATTAGAAAAAAAAAAGCTCATCTTTCCTTGGAAGAGTATATATGACACATTCTGTTTCTGTGAAACAGAAAACTGTGTGCATATTAATATAAAATGAAAATATGTGTACCTSTAAGTAGTATGAAGAATGCCATCTACTGGTAGACAAGAATATACAACTGYTTCTAAGTTAGTAAACAGCTATCATAAAAAGCAACTGAGTTGTCATTATTATGTTCTACAAATGAGCATCCAGTTTTAAAATTTGCCTCACATACTCAGCATACTGTATTTAAACAAATATATATGAGCCGTATATCCTACAACATAAGCTTCTACCCATGAAACAGATAAAGAAGAAAATAGAATTGTCTTATTGTAAGATCTTAAGAACTTACTGCAGCCAACCARTATTTAAAGGGGGCTTATAAGAAAGATGGGTATAGATATGACCATGCACAGGACATGCAAAAGAACTATACATCCTCAGAAAGAAAAACTTCTTCAAGCCAATATAACACCTCTAAAAACATGGTCCAAGCCTTAGAGGGCTTCCACTCCTGTGTTTATGCTGTTATGTACATACTGTCTTTTTCCTCAGTATTCATTAAAAGGATAGAAAGCACTGAAAAAAAGAAACACAAAATTTTAAAGGAGAGATATTAACTTTCTGTTTTACCCAATTTGAAAAGAGATATGCTGTAACACTCCCATAAGTACATCTGGCCTTCCAACACAGTACAAAAATAGAAATATTTTAAATAAATTCCAAAGCCATAAATAATTCATAAACACAACTTATGGACACAACTTATACACTGAGAGCAGAGAAGAAGGTATGGCCAAGTTAATGCCTCAGATAAGCTCTTCAGTTGCTGCAATGTGATTTCAAGAGTAATGTGAAGAGAGGAAGGTGCTCTAGCCCCATCAGACAAAGGTTCATCTTAAAACCACTTACTTCACAGCTCCAAAAATCTCTGCTYAGAGAAGGCCAGCTGTATAAACAAAATAACTTTTGTAGAGACTGGCTTCACCAGGTCATGATTGTTTTTATCAGAAAAAAAATTTATCAGAGAAATTTGTGGCTGCATGTATCTTGGYTTCCTATGATGTGCTTGGCTTTATACAAGATCTACATAACCTGGATCCAACACAAAGGTTCAAAATCTTAAACAAAAGCAAAACTATCTACCATTTTAAGTAGTAACTAATCCTAAAAACACTGCAGTCTATATTGCACACTTTAATTAAACTTCAAGAAATTTCTTTTCACATTTCTTTTCTTTTAAAGGACTTAAAAATCTGCACAATCTTTGTTCCAGAATGTAACAATAATGCAGTTCAAGTGGGTAGCTGCCCTTCCTGCTATTAAAAACAAYAGTTTTTCTATGACAATGGTAGGAAAGTTAAAAGAGAATCTAGCATTAAATATATTTTTTGCAACTTTGAAAATGCAATTTAGTGGCTAAAAACAAAAGTCTTTGGGTCAGTCTTCCTATCAATTACCTTACCAAAGATGCCAGGAAYTCACACTTGCCATGACAAAAAAAGCAAGGTGTAATTTCATCTTCAATGTGCATAGCTATAAAAGCAATGGAAAGAAGAGATGCAGCACTAACTTGATCAAATAATATAATTTTCTAATCAGATATAACTTTGCATTTTGGAAGAAAAATGTTAATGTAAGCCACTTTAAAACCTATAAAACTAGGAAGAAACTTAAAAAGTTTTGYTGTTTTTGTTGTTGTAACAGTTCATAGCAAGCACGCAGTGTTCTGTTTCCATTTCAGACTCGTACTTATTGTTTGGAAGAGGTTTTTGGTTAGTTGGTTGCTTTGTTTCACTTTTTTGATGTTTTTGTTYTATCATCAACTAAATGCATGATATGGTATGTGATATAGCCCACCAAATGGGTACCCAAGGCATCTAAAAGACTGTGAGAACATATTTCTAAGACTACTGTATTCGAATCAACAATAGTTGTTTATTAACATATATCTGTYTATTAACATAAAAATCCGTATCATTACCATCAATTACTTTATAGTAATTTGTACATCCTAGTATTACACGCAGAYCTAGATAATCTGACATACAAAATAAGCTAGTAAGTAAAAAATTGTCTACCTAGAGAAGTCTGGAAGTATACTCAACTTTAGTAGACCTGTACATAAATAATGATCAAGCTGCTACAGTCTCACTAGTTGTGAGGACAAAAATATATTAAAAAATACATTAAAATTCTATTCAGATTTTTCACCATATTTTTATTGGACCCATGGAAAATGCAAGGACACAACAGAACTGTACCCTCAAATTGTTATTTAGCAATGTAAATTATTAAGCATCAATGTGCTGTAAGCCATTTACACACTCATGTGCTTTGTTAATTCAGTGTGCAAATACATAAAATATGAATAGATGTGAGTTTTGCTTTTTCCTGCCCATAATTTTTCMACAGATGYAAAAGAAYGCAGTTTTTTCACAAAACCCTAATTTTGGGATTAAAGTTATAGACTCATTATTCCTTAAGTCACCAAATATAAATCCACACACAAGCACTGCCCCTCTGCTCTCTGACTGTTTTTGAAGAAAAATTGGATACAATTAAATTCTTCACAGGCAGGAGATTAAACAAAAACAAAAAAGAATAAAATTACAGAACAAATATACATCACTTTCAAAACAAACCATGGCTTTTCTCCAAGTTRTTTATTTTATCCTAACTGAAAGGTTCTTTATTTTTAATAGCAACACTTGCTTCCCTTCTGATTTGTTGTTGCTGCTCACTATTCAAGGATACTAGATCTAGTGAGTATACTAGGTTAAGAGCCATCAAAGCTATCAAATGTAAAATGYCATATCCTTTTAAGATTTAAAATGAGACTGATAGTGACTGCATTAGAATCACATGCACTTCAACCCAATATGTATGCAAGTTGTGTTTGTAGCAGTTTTACAAATAACAGAATGACAGTGTGTCTAYGCTCTAGATGTAGCACATTTAAATAATCAATTTAATGTAAAGCAGTCCTGGGAAGGATCCATGCACTTACCCGTATCCAGCTGTTGGCCTTCAGTTCCACTGGGTTCTGTGGTTCACTGCTGTACAGACAACATAAGCACCACATCAGAGTCTTCTGGCTTTCATCTGCAGGAAAACAGGCAAATAAAGATACATTTAGAGGCAAAAGAAAAACCCAARCAAAACACAGACAGATTTAGACACAACAATCCCTATCCATCCACAAAACTAATGCCCGAAATATCAGCTTCAACTCATGCTGCTTCTATTCTACCAGATTCATACCACATATTTAACATTACTCACTATACACATCTTTTGTGATCATTTCCTTCAATAGCAGTTTAAAAGGTAACAAAGTGTCCAGAATCTATACAATAATTAGATGATCTTCAGAAAATTTTAGCATCTAGTAATTCATCTACATAAATAATAYCTGAAGCTATCATCAAGGAACTTTCAACTTAGTATCTAAAATACTATTATCATTAATAGTAGACAATAATCAAAGGAARTAAAATAGTTTATTACATAGTGTCCAAAGTTTGCACAACTCAAGTATGCTTAGGTTTGTGAAGTATGAAATCATCCATAACTATAATGTAAAATATCAAGTTCTCTGAAAAAATATAGGCAGTTTCCAWGCCTCAGGAAAATTACATTTCTGCATAGAATAGTAAATGCTGATGGAAAATATATCCTATTCTGATCTTCTGTCCAGAATAATTTTGSGTTTTACTTCATTCTAACCCTTAATTCTAAAGATTTGAGTTCTCTTCTTTAAGAATCTATTATAAAATAAGCATGACTCTCACTGCTCAGATTCACAGATATGATTGTAGAGCAGCTGATTATCTGGAGTAAGCAGTTGAAGAGCCATTTAMCTTGTGATTATTTCCAACAACTTTGTTTTCCATAGGCTTTGGTAGTTTTTTCCCTAATGTTCTTTGGTGCATACCAAGATTTTCTCCAGTGAATTTAATCCCAGAACAAAACGGCATGATTGAAATGAAAATTCTGAAAACTGGATGTAGTATAGTAGTTCTAATATCCACTCAATAGGCAATAATCTTGTTAAAAATAATRCAAACAAGTGACACCACAGTTTTAGAAATTACATTATGAGACAATTTGATTCTCAAGCTCAATGAGTGATTTCTTTTGTTTTCTGTGTATTTGTTATCCAGGATGTAATAAACAGTATAATTTAGAAGTGTTTTGTTGGGAACGCCTGAGGAAAAAATAAAAAGTCCATTAAGAAATGCCTGTATTTTCACCAGGTGACCAGAGACGTTAACATTGATTTAAACCAGTATTCCTCAATAAATGTCCAGCAAGCCTGGAGGTCATTATTGACCTCCCACTGACTAACATCTCTGCAACAGAAATGGTTTCCCAAGCATACACTTTTAACCCACCACAATTTAGGGTATTCTGCCATTGTGCATTTGGGGACTTGTTTTAATCTGAATTTTTACAAGGCTAATAATTACCTAGGTTTTGTAATTCTGAAGTTAAAGGACACACTTTGCATACTGCTCAGCAGAAGTTCAAAGCATCCTTAAACTCTGATTGCAACTACATCCAACTGGCATGSAGACATCAGCATTGATAGGCAACTATGTCCTTCAAAAAACTTTCCATCTAAATTCTACTTACGACATCATATAGGAGGGAAAATAAACAAAGAGTGCTTTATGTATTTAAATTACTAAATAATAGCCAGTCTCTTACTAGAAAATGAAGATTTTAAACATTATTAATTACTAATACTAAAATACCACCTGATTATAAAGTCTGGCTTTTGACATAACTTTCAATTTTATAAATTACAAAAAAAAGGGAAAAAAAAATCAAGTCCAAATCTCTTACCTGAAACAAMACATACATAGTTCAAGTATTCCTTCTTTTAATTCAACCAGTTTATACTGTACATCTACAGTACTCAGTAATTAATTGAACTTAAATTTTGGTTTCCTTTTGACTTAAAAAAATTAAGAAAATATGTGATTAAAAAGCATCTAACTGCTTGAATAGACTTCTGGATGAGAAGATATTTTGTTACACTTGATGACTTGATGCTTACTATAAAATAAATTATATGYATTGTTGCCTGCCAGAAATTTAAATGAGTATGATGGAGGCTAAAATGACGAAAAGAAAGCTTAAAAACTAAGCTGGCACACTTTGACAGCATAGTGAGTTTACATGAGATTAACCTAGATACATTCAACCTCAACCCAAGTGAAACCAACCTATACTGGTCTCATAGGTAAGCCAACCATTAAAAAAAAATAAGGAGCTGGTAAACTACAGATTTCCCTAGTCAATATTACTTTTCGACCAAAACTGAGGCAGCCTCCCATAGATCTGTGAAAAACGAAAGAAGAGCCCATATAATTCYCTTGCTGATTTACACTCTGAGAGCAACTCTTAGTTCACTGTTTYCTTTTCACAGTTGCCCTGGAACAGGGGATGAAACATGGGAAGATTAAGACACATCCTACAATAATTACAGCAGTTGCAAAAGATAATCATATCAAAAGACCAAACACACAGCCACAGAAAATTTACTGGTGGATTTTATCCTCACAGTTTTCCAGCAACTGGGATCTCCATAGAAAACACACCATCATGCACTGAAAAGCATTATCAGGATACAAACAAAGGCATTTGATCTTACAGGATACAAACAAAGGCATGAAAGAACATCTAATACTCAAATAACCAACCAATTAATACAGCCACAGAAATAGAATTAAAAAGTCACAGCTTGAAAACCATTACCACCTATCTGCAGGACTTCTTTAGGGATGTTAATGTTGTAGTTCAACAAAGGGAATAAAATTTTTCTGCAAAACCTTTMGTTTGGAAGTCACTTTATTAAGAAAAATAGAAGAAAAGAAAAACAAAASAAAYGCCAACAAAAAAGGGGAAAAAAACCTGAAGGAATAAACAAAAAGAAGAACCAACCAGTCATAATTCGAAAGTTTTATGGTCAATCAGATTATACTTCTTTCCTGCCAATCTCACAACAAAAAAAATAAAAAGAAATGGAAACAAGGACCAAAACAGAATGTTTTTCTCCTAACACAGTGCAGTCTCAATCATCCAAAGTACAGTCATTTTATAAATACCTTGTTATGAATGGGGCCAGATGGAAACAAGAAAGCCCTACTATCACAGCCAGAAATATTACTTTTAGAGCTTGTTGTAAAATTTTAYTGAAACATATCAGAAAATGTTGATTAGCTAACACTGAGCTTTTTGTGGAAGTAAATGCATTCTCAAGCATGTACGCTCACACACATATACTGACAAATAGAGCCACCAAGAAATCCCCCAGCATTTATAGTATTAGTTTGGGATTCAAGACATTTGAGCTCAAAACTCAAACCAGGAGGGTCCTACTGAGAAGATAATCCCACAGCCCACAAAAATAACAGAAAAAAACACTGGAATTCCTTACCAAAACTGAATTCCTCATGTATCCCTTGTGGTTTAGGACCACAAGTACAGCCATGAGATTTTCTTCAGTCGTTCTTCCCTCACATTAGCATTCTCTTGGTCACCTCCAGCTTAGGAGTGTTTATGAGGAGATTATTTTCCCYTGGAGACTATACTTCCTGCACTGAGTGGTCAGCCATGCCAGCTTTCAGCACCAACAGACATTCATCTAAGGCAATAGGTACTGTGGTTTGGACATGATGCAGTAGTATAATGTTTTTCCTTCTCCATTTATAAGTATGAAAGACTGAATTGAACAAAATTAGTTCCTCCTTCTGTGAGGGTGGCCTGGTCTCAGACACATGCCTGAATGAGCTATTTCTCCAAATTAGAAATTACATGAAACCCACTTGAGAGTCAGCATCCGCTATAGCCAGCACTATCTTAAAGAATATCTTCAGAACTAGTGCCAAGCAAAATGAAAAACTGCTGAATCTAAAATGCCAGTAGTCCACAGAGTGCTCAGGTGGCTCTAAGAAGAGGAAGTGGTGGGAATGTACAAGCAGACATCTTCAGGTCTCTTGATGTAAAAAATATTTAAGCATTGAAGTGAAGGATTCCATTTTGAGCAAGTAAAGTTCTCTGAATTAGCTTGCTTGCTACTTTGAGATACAACAAAAAAACCCTGTAGTAAAACTTCATTCTCAAGTGAACTTCAGAGACTACAATCAACTTCTGGAAAAAGTGCTTTTGCAGCTTCATAAAAGGCTAAAGGACCACAAAAAAAAGAGAGAAGTAGAGGAAATCAAGAATGTATTTCTGGGATTATTGTGAAAAGGAGCCAAAAGCAGACACAGACAGCTTTCATCTCTAATGAAAAATATAGGTAAAGCTACTTTCTATAATGCAATATATAGGCAGCTCAGAAAAACTTACGGTCTAAAGACTTGCACATTCCAAACAAAAACTTAGAAGTGAAGTATGTATAATTTTAAACACCCGTAGTCACCAACATACTCAAAAACTATGACTAAAAGGGAAACGTCTCCATTGTAAAAATACATCTGTAAGGTATGAAAAGGCTTTTCAAAAAGCAGACATTTGTTCCTTTGCAGAGGTGGTCTATGTTTAAACCAATGGTTGCTTCCCAAATTTTCCTTTCAGAGGGAAAGTGCTGACATTACACACAAGTATGTGTGTAATGTACAATGAACTATGTGTTTTACAGACAAAYTCATTCTGCCTGTGCTTGGAGCTGTCTAGAAGACAAAGCCAAAACAGAAGATGTATGCTGTGCTTGACTTAATAAGCCCTTAATGGTGAAAACGAAACTGCCCKTTTCTGTATTTCCCCAAAAAGAAGCATAAAGCAGAAGAGACATAATGATACCTTTTTTCCTTTTTTCTTTTTCTATTTTTTTTGGGTAGTTGCAATTAGAGTAAAAGACTGACAAAAGTTATTTTAAGAGGCTCACCAAGAAGCTCAGAATTAGTTTTCTGCTTAAATGAGTTCCCAAGTAATTTATAAAAGCATGAACATCCCAGTTCATGAAAAACGTATAACTGTTGGTGACACAGCACAAGGTGTGTCTCCTCCTTCCCAACAGATTTCCGCTACCCAATTTATTTTCTCTTCTATATTCTCACCCACACATATATCCACCACCAGTAAGGGCATTTTTTTTTCATATGCTTTTTTCCTATGTTACCAATCCACTGCTTTAATTTTGATTTTATGTGCATTTTTAATCATTAAGGATGAAGAGATRGGGAAAAATACATGTTCAGAATTCAATAAAAACAAACACAATCATAACTTAGTAGAAYTTCAGACTAATTATAAAAACAAAAATATCAGAAAAATCTCCTATATGAGCATATATAATAGGATATTCTGATACATACTGAAAGAAACTTCTGTTGAAAGTAACTTGAATCACTAGATTTTTTTACATTTTGAGACACCACCAAAATGTAATCAATAAAAAAAAATAGGAATGGAAATCATGATGCACATAAACACTCACTGCGTTTAAAAGCTACTGGTCCTAAGCCAAGATTCCATAACTAAACCATGAAATTAATTAGATCCAAAAGTGAATTTAATATTTCTGAGAGCCATAAATTATCTATAACATGGATAGCGTTTTCATCCCAAAATTTTACTTCAGTTAAAAAGAAATATTGTGTTTTTATGGAAAAATATCATCATATATAACAATATATATTTTCCTAATTTCTATAGAATAATGCTTATGGCACTGCTGCYGAAATATCATTACACATTCTTACCATATCCTATAACAAAAGGATTCCAACAGAGCCTTCCTAGAAGCTGTCCAATTAGAGGGAACTGCTGAATTGCTACAATTGAACCCTGCTAAAACACAAAAACAAAAAGATAGTAAGATATTGCACATCAAAAGTGGGTTAAGAGAACAGTTAATGATACACTTTGTTGCAAATTACAAAACCAATGATTTTACTGAAAAATGCTCTGAAATCAAAACACTTACAGGTATGTAAAAAAAATCAGAACTACCTGAAATTTGCCATAATGTCATAATTCAAGTAAGTTAAAGCTTAGATAAGTTATTTCCTTACCTAATACTTAACTAGAAAATATACCCACATCAGCCTCACATCACATTGTCTCACATCAGCAACTAGATCAGTATTAGTAATTAGCAAGTATAAGATTTCATTGTATTAAAAGCCTAATTAATACATTTTTTGTTGGTCCTCATTGCTATAATACATCTCAGTTTCTGAAGAAATTAATACCCCCTATGGCATAAAACTACCATTGTTACATTTGCTTGCTTTCTTGAAATTAACTCACTTAACGACCAGCCAGTAACAAAGTGACATTCAACTTCTAACCAAATAGAAAGCAGTTTCATTATAAAAGTAGTAAACAAAYATACAATCCTGAGTAATCAGTCTTACTTTTCCATTTTTGTAGTTTTACTATTTAATAAATGAAGACTTTGAAAAATAGTGCAGTGCTGAGATAACATGCAAGTAGCAGGAATGATAACCATCTACAGCTACCACAATAAATTCCTTACATTTGTCTCATGTTTGGGGCTAGACCTAGACTTTCTGGGGCCATATTCACCAGGTCCATTTCAGGCCATGCCCAGGACTACTTGAAGTAGCAGTATTTTTTTTTTTGCCTTAGGAAAAAGAAATACAAAAAAGGGAAGAAATGCCACTCTCCAAGACCTTTTTATTTAAACTTTAAATTCAGAAACAAATTTCACTCTGAAGACTTCCATGAGAAGCAAGCATTATGCCCTAATGCAGCACTTCTAAAGCTCATTATACTGAATATATACACTGAAAAAGCCATGCTCAGAAAAGCATGTAAGCAACTGAACACAACTACATTTACTCAAATGAGTGCAGACAAAGCTGAAATCACTAAAAATAGAACAGGCAGCACCTTATGCCAGTGGTCTGACCATGCTGCTAGAATTCACTGTGTGTGCCATAACACCGGGGTTAACATGTCAGCAGATCCTCTGAGATTTAAAGGATCAGTTACAGTTTTGCATGTCATGGCCTTTAACTCTTCCAATTTATGACCTGACAACCAGAATCAAATTCTTATTTATTTAAAGAGTTTTGTTAAGAGGCTACAGCATTGGCTGGGAAATCTCACGTGATATCCACCAATCAAGAAGAAAAACTCCTTTCACTATAAATCAGGGAAACAGGAAGCACACTCCTGTTTGCATTACCTGTGACTGCTTCCCCAATTTGCCCCTCTGATCCAGCAATTCATTAGGTCAACAAGACAAACCTCTTTGCTACTGTTAGCTKCTAGTTTTGTCAAAACATGGTGCACACTGTTTCAGAGGGAATCTTCAAAACAGGTCACTCTTCCTTCTAAAGTCACTTACCAAATGTTTTAAAGTTTCATAAAGCTGATGTAGAAACTCCTGGAGCTGCGGCAAGTGAAGGCAYACATCTTTCTGGGATTCCAGTGTAGTGGCTTGACCCCATTCAACAGCTTTATCCAGCCAATATTCAAAGTTCAGTTTGGGCACTGTAGTGTCCTGAGCCATACCACAGTCCTGAAAAAAGATTTTAAGTCCACATCAGACAGCAGTAAACACTGTTTTCAAKCCAAGAATGAATACACAAAGAGGGATTTCTGCTACGTTTTTTGCATACACACRTGAAAGAGGGTGCAGGGAGTGTTTGTGCTTACTTCTCATATCTCATAAGGCTAGCAATTTGATGTGTAATATTATGAGGGTAAACTAACAACCCCATTATGACAAAGTAGAAAAGGGGGCACAGTAATCAGTAAATTATCCCAGAATAAATATAACCCCCAGCTGTGTTTCAGGCTTTTTTAATCTAAATTTGCTTCCACCAATATTTCACTCAGAATTTTAAGAATAATTTGAGTGTGCATGAGTTTTGAATGTTATGAATGACAAAAAAATAAAAATGTTTGTTCCAGGATAAATGAAAGCATTAAAATAAAGCTCAACTAAAACAAAAGGCACTAGGAGAACTTTGCTCATTGTAATTTCTATATTTGTAATGGAGCATTAGCTTTAAGTGCAAAAAGAGTATTGTCCTTAAGAGAAACTAGTAAATTTAATACTTCAGTTCTGCTTTATCTTTGTATACTATACAAACAGGAGGGGAAAATACAATCATATGCAGATTTAAATATAACTCAGTTCTGAATGAAAGCTGTATAATAAATTATCTAYATCCCATGGCACACTTCACTCTAAAAAACTGGTCTTTGAGAGGTAAGTACTATCACCAAGCCAGAACATTAAAATCTAACCAAACTGCCCCAGTAAAAGATACCAAAAAACAACCCACATTTTTTTCTGCTTTACTACTATATTTTTCTTTGACAGAAGAACAAAGAATAGCACAGCAGGCAGTACAACAACCTTTAAATCTCTCTGAAAGAAACACCTCTTAGGCTGAAAGAGCAAATGAGTTCTCGCAGCCATTCAATCATTGTTCTTTCTGTCAAAACTGCAAAGACAACTGTCAATTAACAGAATGTGGTAGCAGTTTTCAGAAATGAACTGTTGCCCACTTGGACACAAATTCAGACACTCAGAGATGTCAGTGTGAAATCAATGAATATGTATGTTTTGTAAGATATAACCCAAAAAAGTAGACCAGAACCTCCACTGCAGCCCTGCAAACCAAGCTTGCTTTATACAGCTCACACTTACAAACACAGCATTGGTATAGCATGCTAATGTGAGTCAGATAAAAATTGGAAGATCATTAATAAACTTGTTTCATTTCTATGAGTAATAAATAAATAAATACTCCATAGTGAATCACAACTACTATTTGAAATTGGATCCTGTCCAAACACCAAGAAAAAGGGGGGTTAAGCTGTCGGATCGCAAGAGTACAATATTTATTTGCCCCAAACTTGTGCAAAGAGAAGTAAGCAAGGCCACTGCTCTTGTGCTCTTTATTTCACTGATTTCTGTCTGCAACTGTTGCTGTCAGCAGAGCTCCTAATGAATCTACACAGGGCCAAGGTCTTACGGATCTTCTCTAAGTATCAAAAGAGGCTAGGAGACACCTCATCATGTTAGCTGGCTGAAGCAACGCAGGTCCCAGTGACAACACTTTTATCAATCACCACAGGGACACAAGAAAGACTTYTAGAACAAGTTAAAAGCCAGGAAATGAACTAACGCATTTAATGAAATTAATGATTATAATTGATGTTCCCAGATAAGATTAATCTTCCCAAATTACTGAGAAATCATCCCCTAACAAAATGGCTCCTAAAACTTTTCCGAAAGGAAGAAAAAAAGAAAGACCAGTAAAAAAGAGGAACCACAAAAACTCCAGGACATTGGAGCCAGTCATGAGTTGATTAAGTATTAACTGAGGATCCAAGTRAAGCAATTCAAGAAGGCTAATCTAATATATTAAGTACCTATTTCTATTACTCCAGTATGCAGAATGGCACAGCCCATCATTATTCCTTTTCCAGGAGTCTGATATCCCAGCTCCACAATAAGAAAAGTGTTTTATCTCTCTCCTTTWTTACCAGCTAAATAAACTGGATTGCTGGTCCAGTGAGACTACTCCTTATCAATTACTTAACTGATCCGGAGCCATTGCCATATAAAGAAGACTAAGTTTCACATTCTTATTTTTTTTAACTGCAGTTACTATTACTACTATTAAAAAATAATATAAAAAAGAACATCAGTACAAATCACAAGTGAAAGCAAATCTTAAAATGTATCTATTCTCTATGCTGATAACTGCAACAGTACTGTTTCTGATAGCTAATTCCCTTAAAATAACTGTCCTGAGTATCCTGGACATGAGCAAAGTATTCTCCCATCAACAGACTTGCAATAATCACAAAGAAGACAAAGTCGCTCTATGTTCAGTGCTATTCAAAGCCCTCACCTTGTTGAATGAAAGCACAAGCAAACAACTGGGACCAAAAAAACGCCAACTATACACTSCAGAATTCAGAGCCTATCCTCAGAAGGATCAGTCCTGGACTCGATCCTTTTGCATAATTTTCTGACGAAAGTGAAATACCACTCTGTTTCTAAAGCACAGTTCAGAAATTTTAGCTGCAGTTTAATGTTCAATTTGTGGATACAATTATGGGTAAAAAAATGGAGGAGCCAGTTTTATGTCCATTTCCAAACTGGATTAAAGGACAAATATAYGTGTTTTTCTAAAACTGCTTAAAATCCTAATATATCAGCAATTAGAACCAAATGATCCCTTTAATTCAGAGAAGAGGTAATCCGCAAAGCATGTTTGAAATACATCATTTACAGCGRCATGTAAAGATCATTGCACTTTTTAGCGGGGGAGGATGAAGGGTTGTGCACTTTTGTAAWGCTTTGGACAATAACTACTCTTGTCGATTCCATGGTAGCAGAATCCCATGCAACAACTATTACACAATCATAGAATCCTGAGTTGAAAGGGACCCATAAGGATCATCAAGTCCACCTTTTAAGGGAATGGCCCATGTGGGTATAGAACCTGCGACCTCAGTGTTATGAGCACTGTGCTCCAACCCACTGAATTCATCTCAGGGTTCAATGGAGTTTTTCAAGAATTATAATCACAGAAGTGCTTAAGGCATTGCTGTTACCTGCTTTGGAATACCACACATGCACATTTTTAGAAAATTATCCTAAGATAAACAGAGGAATATAATAAAGTGGCATTTCTAGGAATTGCTGCACTATTCATTTAGGCCACTGGCCCTTGTTTGGCATTTACTATGTGTTTCAATTCATCCTTGATCAAGAATTAATTGATTAATTTAATATGCATTAAGATTTTCTGTACCACAAAACTACTTATTCCATACTATTTCTAAAAATGTTCTATTTCCAATAGCATGATTTTTAAGCTGTACTTGTTTGCTTTCATTGGAAGTTTCCAATGAAAGGCCTATTTTACAGATTGTTTACTTCACCTATAACATCTGGTCCTGAAAAGAGCAATTTGATTAATAAAGCTTGAACTCGTCTTCACCTTGACATTACTGGAAAGCACACAGTAAAGGTACTGAATATATAAATAACCTGATTAAAAGAAAACATACCAGACACACAGATTCAATCTCAAAAACCAGCATAGGATATAGGATAAGGTTTATTAGCCAGATAAATAGAAAACTGTTAGGTAATCAAATGTGGTTTAAACATTGAGATCCCGGTAAGATATAAAACATATTATCATAGACAATAAATACTTGACTAATAATTTTATTTACCATACTGACAAGTATATTACTAAAGTCTATTTCAGATAAACTTCCATTCTTTTTCATTAGTAATGACTCCTTTTCAGCTGCCAAAAATCAAAAACTGCTTCTTATTTAAGACTGCATACTCCACAACTTGGCAAAATCAGAAGTTAAATTTATTGTGACTCACCTAAAAACATCTTTTACTTCTAGAAAGAATGGGGAAGGAATCTAGTCTTTAGTCCTCTTCGCTGAGAACYGTCAGTCAAATCCTCTTGGCCTTATACTTTCAAGTGCATGGAACCTTGGGGAGCTCAGGCATGAGGGTACTCCTTACACCTTTCTGGAGTTAAGGGCAGCACGTAATTTTAGTCTGTCAAGTGAGCTATCCAGATCAATACAGGAAACATACCACTTCAGTCACTAACTTTTATTACCATATCTTGAGGCAAAGTCCCCAAATCTGACTTCAGTAGGTTGAAAAAAATTACTATTAAACTTTCATGATTTAATTTCTCTTCACTCTTGTAAATTCAGCTGCTAAATTTAAATAAAACTCTTCAAGTAGAAGGATCCTTGAGATACCATTAAGGTACAATGTTGCCTTATGTCACAGCACTCCAAGTAAACATGACTAAAACTTGCATTCAAGGTATAAAGCTCTCACTTTTCCCTGAATCAGTGATAAATAGCTCCACACCCTAAAAAGACATTTTACTTTACACTCCTCCTCCTCCTCCTCTCTTAAATGCTACCCAMCAGCAGCCTTTGCTTATGAGGAAAAACACAAAATAAGAGAACAGTTAAAATTACATAGGGTCCAAAGGCCCCAACCAGAACGGGTCACCATAAAGCTAACAAAATCCATATACATTCCAAATTTCAAACTATTTTAAAGGAATTTTAATACTTAAAAAAGCAGTAGAACACTCCTTTTGTGCACATTTATTACTTTAGTAGATATTAGGAGACTAATATTAGGAATTGGAAGACTAGATAGTAGGTAAGTACTCCAGTACATTATATAAACAAAAAATACCATCATTTTACTCCTTACTCACCTTAACTCATTTGTGATACAGCACAGTTGATACAGTAATAGAACAGAAGAGTATTAACTAACAGTTTTGATGTTTCTAAGATTATTATAATCATGACACAAATTTATTAGCTAATGGATATTCTGGGAAATGCCAAGAGAAAAAAAAAAGCAGTAATTATCCTGAACATTGTTAATATTTTCCCATGTATTATTTCTCCACAAAGAATATCTATCAGGTTCTTTTACCTTGTTCTCAAGTATATTTTTCATCTTCACTTTGATAAGTTTCTTTT